TCGCCCGGATCTGGAGCTCAGAGTCTGCGACTCCCTCCCGATTGAAAACGCCAACCGCGCCATCCTCCGCCAGCCCGCTCCGCGCACTCCGCACCTCAGAATTTGACTTCAGCACTGCGCCTCCTCTGAGTGTCCGTATGCGTTACTCTTTCCTCCTAGTTGTAGGACTTCCACTCAGCCAGCGTTCCTGTGGGTCTGGGTGATGTCCGTTCCGTCTTTTAGTTTCACTTTTGAAGTGGTTGTTCGAGGCAGCAAACTCTGGCGTTAACCTATGCCGCCATCTTGGTTCTCTTCCACATAATTATTCTTAAAAGTTGAATCCTAGAGTTCCCTCTCATCACTCTGATGCCTTTTATCATATTCTTTTTCGTAAGAATTTACATAAGCTATACATCATATTACATTACAAATTAAATGATGAGATGAGAAAAGCACACTGATTAGGTTCTTGTTTTATAATCTACTATAGAAGTAGTATCAGAGTTATACGACTTTAGTCATCTTGATTCCTAGGTGTATTCTATAAAGGTCACAACTTATATGTGATTTTTATATTAGTCATCAAACATAACAATTACATACATTTCAATGGGAATACTAGACTAAAAATATGAATTCAGGGAGAAAAGAAAAAGATGCAATATGCAATTAAAGAATTTAATGCACATTTAAAAAAAATTAATAATGGGCATGTCAAATTATTTACAGTAATTTAAGCATTTTATTAAAAATGTTCTTATTTAAAATAGCTAGAACTTAGACCCTTTGAAACTTAGGCTGAAAATTTTTATTTATTTATTTATTTATTTATTTCAAGAGGAGAGGAGAGGGATAGAGAGTTAGCAACATCGATGAGAGAGAAACATAGATCAGCTGCCTCCTGAACACTGGAGAGGGATAGAAAGTTAGAAACATTGATCAGCTGCCTTCTGCACACTCCCTACTGGGGATGTGCCCGCAACCAAGGTACATGCCCTTGACCGGAATCAAACCTGGGACCTTTCAGTCCGCAGGCCGATGCTCTAGCCACTGAGCCAAACCAGTTAGGGCTATGATGAAAAATTTTAAATGTCAACTTCAAAATGCACGAGATAATATAATTTTTCAAAAATTTTAAGGGTACATGGACAAAACTAAAGGTCTAAAGACAGTTAGACTTCACTAGGTAGGTTTAAGAATCAGAAATAAGGGAAGCGGGTGGAGGACTGGGTGCAAAAGGTGAAGGAACTCAGAAGTACAGATTGGTAGTTACAAAGTAGTCATGGGATGTAAAGTACAACATAGGAAATACAGTCAATAATATTTTAATAGCCGAAACCGGTTTGGCTCGGTGGATAGAGCGTTGGCCTGCGGACTGAAAGGTCCCAGGTTCGATTCCTGTCAAGGGCATGTACCTGGGTTGCGGGCACATCCCCAGTAGGAGATGTGCAGTAGGCAGCTGATCGATGTCTCTCTCTCATCGATGTTTCTAACTCTCTATCTCTCTCCCTTCCTCTCTGTAAAAAATCAATAAAATATATTAAAAAAAATATTTTAATAACTATGTATACTGCCAGGTGGTACTGGAAATATCAGGGGAACACTTTGTAAAGTATGTGATTGTATAATCACTGTGGTACAATGGAAACTAATATAAAATAATATTGACAAAACATTTTTTAATTGAAAAAAGAATCAGGAATAAGTTTATCAATAGCAACCATTTTAATTCATTTCACAAAAATTTAGAAGCAATAGAATTTGTCTGATTATGGGTGGACAGTTTCTCAAACGAGGAGTTATCAGTAGAAGTTGCACTGCCTTTCTGTTTTTATGAATCTGTTTTTGCCTTAATATTCTAAATATAAGAGTGTGGATATCAATATGTGTGTATGCTGGAAGATGAGAGAGATGCAGGGGCAATCTTGTGAAATATTACAAAACTGCCTCACAACTTAGTATCTAAAATCTGAGCACATTCCAAAGAAAGCCTATTTTCTATAAAAATGCAGACCTTTCCCCAAGTCACAGTTTATATTATTCAAACATTAATTTGAAGCACCGCTCACCTGTTTAATGCCTAGTCCTTTCTCATGCATATATCCCAGATTAAACATAGCCTGTGCGCTGTGTTGCTGCTCCGATGCTAGACGATAATGAATAAACGCAGTCTCGTAATCCACATCGGTGCCAAATCCATAGAAATGGTAGTCTCCAAGCTTAATTCTAGCCACAGTATAGCCTTAAACGAAAGTTAAATGCAAAACTGCCAATAAATAAAGTATTTAAAACAGATCACACTGTTATTTCTCTTCCTATTAACTTGATTACATAAAACAGAATTTTAATTTATAGTACACAAATTTTACAACCAACCCTTTAGCTAAGCTATAAATTCAGTAAAAATTTAAATAGAATTACTCTTCTAAGAAGGTTTTGTAATAGTCAAGGAGAGGTAGAACAAGGTAGGTGGCAAC